TGACCAATCAATCCGCTCACGGCAAGATGAAAAGCAAAAAATACCTCTCGTGATTTAAATTGAGGCTGTCAACGTGTCCTGCCCATCTCAAAAAAAAATGTCACATGAAAGATGATTGGGAGCGGGATGGATTCCATCACATCGGCCTGGACTAGATGGAGGAATTATAAGACGTGGCTTTGAAAAATGGAAAAACGATCCATCTGTGGAGAGCATACAGGAGGCAGCTTATTTCTGCGAGGGAAAAGGTTTTCCTAGAAAGGATAGAAACTTGTGAGAGAGACTAGAGAGAATGGACATCTTTACATGGAAAAAAAAAAAAAAAAGGCTAGAGAGAAATGAAAAAAAAGGAAGAGATGGAGAGAAAGTATAAGATGGATAGGAGAGAAAGAAAGGGATGGAGAGAAAGTAAAGAAGGAAAAGGAGGAGAGAAAAAAATGGAGAGAAGAAAGTAAAGATGGGCAGGAAAGAAAAAAAGGGGAAAAAGAGAAAAAATAAGAAGGATAGGAGGAAAAAGAAAGAGATGGAAGAAAGTATAAGAAAGGATAGGAGGAGAGAAAAAAAAAAGGGATGGAGAGAAAGTATAAGATGGGCAGGAAAGAAAGAAAGGGAAGAAAAGTAAAAAAAGATGGAAGGAAAGAAAAAAAGAAAGGATGGAGAGAAAGTATAAGAAGGATAGGAGAAGAAAAAAAGAAAAAAAAAAGAAAGTATAAGAAAAAAATAGGAGGAGAGAAAGAAAGAAAATGGAAAGAAAGTATAAGAAGGATAGGAGGAGAAAGAAAAAAGGGATGGAGAGAAAGTAAAAAAAAGGATAGGAGGAGAAAAACAAGGGATGGAGAGAAAATATAAGATGGCCAGGAGAGAAAAAGAAAGGGATGGAGAGAAAATATAAGATGGCCAGGAGAGAAAGAAAGAGATGGAGAGAAAGTATAAGAAGGATAGGAGGAGAGAAAGAAAGAGATGGAGAGAAAGTATTATTATTATTATTATTATACAGTATTTATAAAGCGCCGATAGTTCGCTCAGCGAAAGTAAAAGATGAAGAAGAAAACAGAAAGAAAGAGAGGGGTGAAACTAAGAAAAAGAGCAAGAGAGAATTTTTGAAAAATAAATAAAGACTTATTTAAGAGAACACTAATAGCAGAGTTGAAATACAAACAGTACACAACTATTTAGCTGCTCAAAGTGGAACTAAACTGTATGTGAGCATCACAAACTGAAAACAAAACATTTTCATTTTAACATTTTAACTTTCTCATCCATCCATGTCACCACATTTTATTTTGTTGAGAAATTACTTTGATGTAAACATCCCTTGTGATAGCAATAAGCAGGGACGTTATTGGGACATCTGGACCCCAGATGTCTTTTCTGCCCTTAAAAGCATCGATCAAACTCAGATCGGATCAATCGGATGCTTTCACAAGCTAAAAATAACTTGTAAACAAAGATCCAAAAGTAAATACTTCTTCTGATTTCAAAATGCGATATATATATATATATATATATATATATATATACACAACATATATGAAAAATATTTTTGAAAATATTTTTAAAATATATTCTTCAGATTTTTTTTAATATATAAAAAAGTCATTTTAACCACTTGCCCTCCTGAGGATTTACCCCCCTTAATGACCACGCCTCGTTTTGCTACTCGGCGCTGCACTAATTCAACTGATAATTGCGCGGTCATGCAATGCTGCACCCAAATGAAATTTACGTCCTTTTTTTCACACAAATAGAGCTTTCTTTTGGTGGTATTTGATCACCTGTGCGCTTTTTATTTTTCACGCTATAAACAAAAAAAAAAACCAAAATTTTGAAGAAAAACAATATTTTTTACTTTCAGCTATAAAAAATATATAGTAAACTCAAAGTTGGTTATAAATTTAGGCCAAAATGTATTCTGCTCCATGTTTTTGGTAAAAAAAATCCCAATAAGTGTATATTGATTGCTTTGTGTGGAAGTTATAGCGTCTACAAACTATGGTATAAATACTGCAATTTACGCCATTTTTTTGCTATACAGCGCTGCGCTAGTTTAATGAACAATTGCGCGGTCATGCAATACGGTACATAAATGAAATTTACATCCTTTTTTTCCCCACAAATTGAACTTTCTTTCGGTGGTATTTGATTGCCTGTGCGTTTTTTATTTTTTGCACTATAAAAAAAAAAGGCTGACAATTTTGAGGAAAAAAAACAATATTTTGGACTTTTTGCTATAAAACATGTCCAGTAAAAAAAAAATTTAAAAATCAAATTTAGTCATAAATTTCTGCCAAAATGCATTCTGTGACATGTCTTTGCTAAAAAAAAAAAACCCAATACGTGTAAATTAATTGGTTTACATGAAAGTTATAGCATTTACAAATGGCGGGAAAGATACTGGGATTTTTTTTTTATACTAATAATGGCGGCGATCGACGACTTATTATGGCGGCAATCAGTGACTTATGGCGGGTCTGCGCGACTGAGGCGGACATTCTGACACTGGGGAGGAATTGACTTGGGGTCACTGACATCCCCAGTGACACCAATACAGTGATCAGTGCAAAAAAAAAAAAACACTGACACTGTACTAATGGCACTGGGGAGGAAGGGGTTAACTTTATTATTCAGGGAAAGGGTTAACTGTGTGAGGGGAGTGTTTTACTGGGGGGGTGTGTACTGCACGGAGATATGATGATCCGGACAGATAAACTCTTCTGTCCCGATCAGCATGTCAGGAGCTGTCAGGGAACTGACAGAAAGCACAGTTACTGCAGCCGGGCTCTCTGTCAGTGGTTGCCGCTAATCGTCGGGACACAGCCGGTAACGATCGGCTGTGACCCGGCGACTGACATCCACGGCCGTGATCAGCGGGACAGGTAGGGCGGCGGCGCACCTAGCGCACACCCCCTACCTGTTTTGAAAACACACATTTTAAAACGTGATTTTGCCCAGCCGTGCCGCCCTGCCGCCGTATTTCTACAGTGGCTGGGCGGCATGTGGTTAACATATATTTGTAAATGCATACCAAAAATGTAGATTTGTATTTTTAAAGACATACAGTATATTTGAGATGTATTTTTAAAAATATTTTTCATATATCTTGTAATAAAAATGCATTTCAACATGCAATGTGTATATATATATTGAATATGGCCAAAATTGTAGCATTTCAAATATATGTCAATATATTTGGGAAGAATATTTTTAAAATATATTTCAAATATATTTTTCTTCCATATTGGCCGTCAGTGTCGCCCGTCAATATCGCCCACCTGTGCCCATCAGTGCCGCCTATTAGTACCCATCGGTGCCACCTATCAATGACCATCATTGTTTCCTATCCATGCCACCTCATCAGTGCCCATCAGTGCTGCCCATCAGTGCAGCCTCATCAGTGCCCATCAGTGAAGGAGAAAAATTATCTGTTTTGCTAAATTTTATAATAGAAACAAAAAAAAAAAACCTTTTTTTAAACTTTTTTGCTCTTTTTTTGTTTATAGTGCAAAAAATAAACAAACCCATTTGCGATTAAATACCACCAAAAGAAAGCTCTATTTGTGTGAAAAAAAAGTATACAAATTCCATATGGGTACAATGTTGCATGGCCGCGCAATTCTCATTCAAAGTGCGACAGCGCTGAAAGCTGAAAAATTGGCCTGGGCTGGAAGAGGGTACCAGTAGTTCATGTTGATTGAGACAGTTTAGTTTCACTTTAACAAATTTGTTCAATCGGTCTTGATGATCCAGGCATCCTTTTTTTTTTTTTTTTTTTTTCTATTTCGATATTTTTATTAAAGAAGTTTTGATTTTATAATACAACAAGCTCATGATATGCCCAACGCAGGGGCAGAGCAGGGCAATAACATACATAAGCAGATACAAGTCAGCAGGGTGTATTAGCCAAATAACTGAACGTCCAATGACATCAAGGAGGGACGGCAAAAAGCCAAACCAAATAGTAGCAGCAGCAATCCATCATATTACCGGGAAAAAAAAAAAAAAAGCGGAAAAACCCCTACCGAGAAATATCAACTCAGAACATGCGGGAAAGGAAAAAAAAAAAAAGAAGACCCCAAACTGATAGAAAAAAGGAAAAAGAAAATATAAAAACATAGAAAGAAATAATGAAGAAAGAAAGATTCAGAGAGAAAATATGGAAGAAAGGAAGACTAGAAGAGTCACGGATCCAGGGCTAGCACAGGCAATGACTATAAGAGGCCATTTGTAAAGACCATGACGGGAGTGCTAGTAGGAGGCAGGGACCAGGCATCCTTTTTAATTGACAAGTCACGTAAGTGACCTCATTTTCTCTCAACTGCAGGTAAGAAATATAGCCTGCTCATTGAACTGGGCCCCAGCCTGTGATTGGTTGGCTATGGAGAAGCAGCACAAGGATGAGGTCATCACTCTGCTTCCTCTTATATTTCTGTACCAATTCAAAATTTTCTCTAAATGACGAAAACCCTCAACCCCTCATCACGTCCTCCCACATGGCAGTGAGAACATACATCTGGTTGTATGAAATATGGCACACCCAGACTCTCTTTGTATGAGAATAGACTTTGAACTGAACCTGTGATTTCCCGCTCCCCAGTGGTGCATTCATCTCCTTCATTTGGACATTTCCCCTTTCCCTGTAACTAGATAGGCTGCCCTTTGTAAGCTATCAGTTCCTCAAGTCTAAGCTGCCTCAGTTTTGCAGAAGAATTGTAAAGACCATGACGGAGTGCTGTCCTTCACTTGGCCTTCTGGCAGCCATCCATTTGGTTGTGCCATTAGGGCAGTGTGGACTTATTATTGCCGGCACCTTGCATAGAAGGACTGTTATCTCAGCTAAAAAGCTCTCCAAACATTGGTTAACCTCCTTGGCGGTGTTCCCGAGTGTAGCTCGGGGTAGAATTTCTGTACCAAGAACGGTAACCCCGAGCTACACTCGGGCTTACCATGCGGCATTGCTCAGGGAGTCCCTGCAGCACTTACCTTGTCCTTCGCTCCCACGATGGGTCCCCTGCAGCGTCCCCGGCCATCTCCTCCGGCCGATGCCGGCATCTGGCTTCCGTGTTCCGGTCCCTGTGACGTCGGAACGTTTCGGGCGGCGGAACCGGCGGGAAATTTGAAATTTTTAAAAAATGAAATTTTTGCTGTCATTGCTTTTTCACTGTATTTCACATACATTTTGTCCCTACTGCTTTGTCCGGTGCCCTGCCTGCATTTTGACTGTTCTTTCTGCCTGGAAACTTAGAAAAGTCCATGGCGGCCAAAAAGCGTCCCTTTACGTCAAAAGTGGTTTTAGAACAGCGATAGTAAATCAGAAACCACTTGCAGAATTGAGTGATAATGATTTGTGGGGGAAATTCGTCATCAGACACTGAAAACGTTTTTGCGACTTTGCTCAGCGAAGTGCGAATTTGCCTCTGTATTTCAAATTTCAGTGTTTTTGGTTTGATTATATTATTGAATTAAATTTATTATTATTATATTATTTTTTATGATTATTTATTAAATTATAATTTATGATTTCGTGTTTCAAGTTTTATCATCCCGGGATGTTTACTAGACTCTTGTTCGGACAGATTTCAGTGAGTTATTCCTAAAAATTACAGCCTACAATAAAAAACTACATATTTCCATGCAAAAAAATGGTACCGCTTTCAGCACAAAAAATCGGAAAGAATCATACCGCCGAGGAGGTTAAATACCTACCTGGGCACCTGCTGAACCAGACGATAATTGATTCATGTATGGCCAGCTTTACAAAGTAAAAACAAAGATTAGTGTAGCACCCTCCTAGGTAGCTAGGGAGATCTAGCTCAAGTTTTCAGCTAGGAAGGCTGAATAGCAGCCTGGGATGAGTCAGAGGGTTATTTTAGGTCAGGTCTGAGAGGCTCTGCAGGTCAGACACCTTCCCCTGCCCTGGAATCTTGGAGATGAGAAAGGGCTGGCCTGCACACTTAGGGGATCCCGGCCAATCCTAAAGCAGAAGGCTTGGCATGGGACCAGGGCAGCCTTTAAGTGTGCTAGTGCCTGCTCAGTAGCAGGAGAGTTCAGGTGGAAGATGGAGTGAGCAGGCTGGAGTGAGAAGCCTGGGAGGGGGCCGACCTACAAGCAGAGGAGCTGGAAGGGAAGATCTCTTATCCTCAATTGTCCCCTGAGAGAGGGCAACCTGGAAAGCAGGTAAGGAGCCAGTCCAGCGTAAGGTCTAAAAGCCTTAAGGTATCCACCAATCCACATGCTTGCAGGAGAGGACTGAGTGAGTAATCCTGTATCCCCTGGGCCAGATACGGGGAAAGGGCATTCTGGTGGGAAACCTGACTAGTCCCTGGGCCCCTTGCCCAGGGATTTCCCTCGGGCATCTGGGTGAAGAGGAGATTTCTTCTGGCGTCTGAGGAGGTACACCAGGAAAGGCTGGAGAGCTCTCCAAGAAGAGGATTTATGTCTAATGGACTTGTATATAGTTTTTAAGGAGTTTTTCCTAAGTTTACAGTTGCCAGGGCATCCCATACATCCCTCAACCCCATCCAAGCTCAATACCCCTTCACAAAATAAAAAAAAACAAGCTCAAGGACTGTTTACTGTCTCCTGTGTGCAAGGTCCGAAGAAAATGCATGTTGCCTGGCTCGTGCAGGACTATAGGGGGACCCAAAAAAACTCAGCGACTCCTAAGGGGGTAGTGCCACATTAGAAACTCAAGAGATTAGGATGTGTGTGGAGGTCCTTAGACGTTACCAAGGACCTGGCATCTTCAGTCAAACAGAAGACTTTTTCAGCTCCGGTCCCAGTCTCAGACAGTTGCTATATTATAAGCATTTGCATATTGACTCATTCATTTAACAATTTGCACAAGCAACAATAATAAAAAGAATACAAGGGGACATTCATTCCTGTTATTATTTGGAATATTTTATAGCCATGATCACAATCCAGTTTCTTGCTGCAGAACATGGAGACTGAATCTACACATTGCACAAACAATTTTACATTCCAAAAACTTATTCTATTAACATAGTTAGTCTGGCTGAAAAAAAAAGTGACAAAAGTCCATCCAGTTCAACCATGTTAAAAAAAAAAAAAAGTTATAATCCTACACCCACAGCTGATCCAGAGGAAGGCAAAAAAAACCCAGCAAAGCACGATTATAATTTGCTCCTTCCTTCCTGATCCCCCTGAGAGGCAATCGGATATTCCCTGGATAAAACTTTCCCCCCTAAATGTTATAATCCATTATATTCTGTGTATCCAAGAAAGAAATCCAGGACTTTCCTACAGCAATCCACTGAGCTGGGCCACAACCAACTCTTGAGGGAGTCTATTCCCATTCTCACAGCTCTTACTGTGAAGAAACCTTTCCGTGGTTTGGAGATTACATTTCTTTTCACTCCAGACGTAAAGAGTGCCCCCTTGTCCTCTGTGATGACCTCAGGGGGAATAACTACACCGAGTTCACTATATGAACCACTGATGTATTTATACATGGAGATCATATCCCCCCTTATGTATTATACATGGTGATCATATCCCCCCCTAAGTATTATACATGGTGATCATATCCCCCCTTATGTATTATACATGGAGATCATATCCCCCCTTATGTATTATACATGGAGATCATATCCCCCTTATGTAATTATACATGGAGATCATATCCCCCCCTTATGTATTATACATGGAGATCATACCCCCCCCCTTATGTATTATACAATGGAGATCATATCCCCCCCTTATGTATTATACATGGAGATCATACCCCCAAATCATACTATGTATTTATAACATGGAGATCATATCCCCCCCTTAATGATATTATACATGGAGATCATATCCCCCCCTTATGTATTATACATGGAGATCATATCCCCCTTATGTATTATACATGGAGATCATATCCCCCCTTATGTATTATACATGGAGATCATATCCCCCCTTATGTATATATACATGGAGATCATATCCCCCCTTATGTATTATACATGGAGATCATATCCCCCCCTTATATTATTATACATGGAGATCAATCCCCCCTTATGTAATTATACATGGAGATCATATCCCCCCCTTATGTATTATACATGGAGATCAACATCCCCCCTTAGTATTATACATGGAGATCACAATCCCCCTTATGTATTATACATGGAGATCATATCCCCCCTTATGTATTATACATGGAGATCAATCCCCCCTTATGTATTAATACATGGAAGATCATATCCCCCTTATGTATTATACATGGAGATCATATCCCCCTTATGTATTATACATGGAGATCATAACCCCCCCCTTATGCCATTATACATGGAGATCATCCCCCCCAGTATTATTATACATGGTGATCATATCCCCCCTTATGTATTATACATGGAGATCATATCCCCCCTTATGTATTTAAAAATACATGGAGATCATATCCCCCCCTTATGTATTATAATACATGGAGATCATATCCCCCCTTATGTATTATACAAGAACATATCCCCCTTATGTCAAATAAGGGGGGTAATAATTAAAGTATTATACAATGGAGATCATAATCCCCCCTTATGTATTATACATGGAGATCATATCCCCCTTATGTATTATACATGGTGATCATATCCCCCCTTATGTATTAAACGTGGAGATCCATATCCCCCCTTATGTATTATACATGGTGATCATATCCCCCCTTATGTATTAATACATGGAGATCATATCCCCCCTTATGTAGTATACGTGGTTGATACTATACACCCCCGCATCATAACCCCCATTAAAAAAATACATGGAGATCAAAACATCCCCCCTTATGTATTATACATGGAATACCCCCCCCCACGACCCCCAACCACCACACTACAAAAATATTATACAATGGAGAATATCCCTTCCTCTTCACAGTAAATAAACCCAGTTCCTCCAATCTTTCCTCAAAGCTGAGGGGGGAACCCTCCATGCCTCGTATCAACCATATTTCTCCAGCAATATTATTCTAGCAAGCCTGCTATTATGTAAAGAACCAAACATTAGCATATACACACCTGATATTGTCATTCAGTCATTAAAAAAAGATGATTTTTCTTTATAAAGTAACCATAATCATATGTTTTCCAAAGTTGAATGCTCCTTGAGGTTTAAATGGTAAACAACCATTTTATTTTCCTTCTTTTTTGTTCTTCTAACACATTCAGTTCCTCTTGCAGTTTTATTGTCTTTGTAACTTTTTTTATCACACCAAACCTACAGTGTTTCCCTTGCTAGCACAATGCCTGGCGATTTTTATCAAAATGTTTATCACCAACAAGTTCTAAAGTGCAAAGTATGTGCTTTTGAGCAGTGATGTATGCATCTGATCAGAGTTTGAGAGGCGGGCATATTATGGAGTTTATACAGCTTGTGGGGGTAGGTGAGGTTGAGCTTGTCCATGGTGCATGACTCTGTGGTGACCCAACCCATGGATAATCCTTGAAAGATGGATCCATTTAAACTTGAAAAGATTGTGGAGGTAGGTTAAAGCAGACCTTATTGGTGGTAGGTGGGTCTGTGGTGGTTTGACCCATAGATGGTTCTTTATTCATGGGTCCCTTCAATTATGTAAATATTGTGGGGGTAGGTGCGGTTGACCTTGTTGATGGTGCATGGGTTTGTGGTGGCTCAACCCATGGATGATCCTTGAAAGATGGATCAATTTAAATTTGGGAAGATTGTGGAGGTAGGGGAGTTAGACCTTGCTGGTGGTAAGTAGGTCTGTGGTGGCTTGACCCATGTATCTTTCTTGATTCATGGATACCCTCAAATATGTGAAGATTGTGGGGGTAGGTGATGTAGACCTTGTTGGTGGTGAGTGGGTCTGTGGTGGCTTGACCCATGGACAACCCTTGAAATATGGATCCATTAAAACTTGAGAAGATTGTGCAGGTAGGTGAAGTAGACCTTGTTGGTGGTAGGTGGGTCTGTGGTGGCTTGACCCATGGATGGTTCTTGATTTATGGGTCCCTTTAAATATGTGAAGATTGTGGGGGTAGGTGAGGTAAACCTTGTTGGTGGTGGGTGGGTCTGTGGTGGCTCAACCCATGGATGGTCATTGAAATATGGGGTCCCTTCAAACATGTGAAGACTCTGGAGGTAGGTTAGCTGTTCTGTGTATGAATAGAAAGTCTTGAAAAACTCCAGCCAAATGAAACA